TTTTTCAAGGAAAAATGATTTCTTTAAAGAACGTAGAGGTTTACCGAGCGAATTATCCCGACGGGTACCTACGAGCCCAATACGATAGGTCCGTAGAATTTCGAATATTTAATGTGGGTCCAACACCCACCTTAGTTTAAGAGACTCCGTTGGAGTATAAATTTCAGCGGCGTAAAAGTTAGAATGCCATGTATAAGTCCTAGGCCGAATTGGGCCTTAATATCATACCAAGAGAAATCTAGGAAAATAAGATTTAATAAATTAATCTTTATTATCCTTTAGTAAACAAAAGGAATATATGCCTTATGGAAAGGGTTATATTTTTCTTCATAAGTTGTTAAAATAGAATAGCAAATAATAGTTGATCTCACACTCTTAATGGGTGTTTATTTCCAGAAGAAAGTAAGAGACTAGGCTGATAGGCAAAAAGGGGATTCCAGCTTTGAAAACCAGGTAAGTAAGAATCTCGTCTACAGTATAAATAGATTTTAAAGTAAACAGTACACATGAACTATATATGTTTGAGTACATTTAATGTTATGAATGTTATGCTATGTTATACTACATACACTTAAGCAGTACACCCGAATTATATGTGTTCGAGTACATGATATAGTATGCTATGCTAGGTCATATTGCATACACTTTAATAAGTCAAGAGGAACTTATAAGAGTAATCTCAGTTGAGTGCCGTATCAGCCTCCACAAGGGAGGTAACTCAAGCTCCACAAGGGAGAAACAAAAAATATAATAATGATGTCCTCCGACTCAAGGGAGGCATTTAAGTTATAATCACGGTGTCATGAGGGACCTTGCAAACCCTCACGTCGCGATGATTGCGCGCAAGTGGTACGAGCACTCGGGCCCATCAGTAAGAAAGATAAGATAAGATAATAAGATTCTGATAAGACATCATAATTAAGCATAATTGGCTCATGCATATTTATTCATGTGAACTTACAGTTATTTTGCGAAAGATAGTTCCTACTTGCTTAGCGAAAGCTCATTATAGAATGTTTATACTGTAGGTAAGCAACCGGCATATAATGCCTGATGGACTGCTGGCGAGTGGACGAACGATGTGGGGCTCGGGATATGGATACCGCTCGCAAATATTTCCGCAATCAGCTTTATGTTATAAATAGTTTTGTTAATTATGATTCTGAAACAGATATGTTAAGGTTTGAATATTTTAATTAAGAAAGCAATTTCGTATTTTATGTTTATTATAAAACCTTAAAAAAAAAAAATGTTCCGTAAATTTTAAGAAATTTCAGTAAGTACAAGTTAAAAAGTTAGTTACAGTGGCGGCCTCAAAGGAGGGTCGCTACAGTTGGTATCAGAGCCGGTATCCTGCCATCCTACTCCATACTGTCACGTGCATACTATGCCCCAGTCCAAGTAAGTAGAAATTCATGTAAATAATATATTATGAGTAAATATTAATGTTAATACTATTGCGTTACGATAGAGTATGGCTGCACCGATAGACCCCAGGCAAATCGCGGAGGATCGTAGAGCTATGGCCGCGTTTGTAAACATGCGTGTTCACACATTCTCCGGTCGCCGTCAACCATACCTATTAATGGAGTGGATCAACGTTATAGAGATAGCATATGACGTTTGTCACATTCCTGAGCGGATGAGGGTCCGATTGGCCGCCTCAAAGTTAGAAGGACACGCTCTCGCCTGGTGGCTCAGGATGGGAGCTGAACACCAACCCCCTAGTTGGGGAGAGTTCAAGCAGGAGATCAGAGCCGAGTATGGGCCGATATTGTATGGTGCTATTGAAGTTCATGCTCCGGGAGTGCAGAGAGATCCTCACATCTGGGATGATATGCAGAGAAGACAATATGAGGCTTTAGAAGCCATCTGGGATTCTTATGAGGGAGAGTCCATGGCTCATTACTGCCAGCGTTTCTGAGACTCCATGATGCCCATCATACCTACCCAGATCCTGTTTTCAGAGGTCAGGGATTTGATCTGGAGGGGGGTACCCCAGGACGTCCGAGACTTAGTTCCTTACCCTGTACAATACTATCACATCCAACAGTTCCTGAAAGAAATAATAAATGGCGAGGAGGAGCTACACCATGTCTAACAACAACTCCAGGCTAATGCAGCAGCAGCAGCAGTCATAGCCCAGCCGGAGCAGGACGCAGCATCGGGATATCATGCAGATAACGATGAAGACTATGATGAGCCAATAGACTACATGTCTGAGGACTATGATGATGAAGTACCAGAGCATGTCATCATCGCGAGCGATGATGAGTATACAGAGGATGAGGATCCCTCGGAGGATGAGATGTTCGGCGATGAGGGGTTCTCAGATGGAGACGCGGAGCCTAAGTCTGGATTATCATCTGACTGATGGCGTCACCTGCAGCATATCTTACCTCGCACATGCTTTCATCAGTTATTACTCAAGATTGGACTCTCCTCCCGGAGCTCCAACTTGCGGGGGCATATTAGAGATATCAAAAGATAATCTCCTTATTTCGAATATTGTACAACTGTAATTAGATTTGTATAGCTAAGCAATTTAGGTTTTCTAGATTAGAATAAATTTCTAGTTTTAAATTATTGTTTCTCGATTCTTTTGTAATATGTTTTATATACTCCTATTCATCAATGGAAAAGGCAGTATGATTATTTTCCTCAATTCTAAGTTATTATAGGAAGTAGGTAATGGAGTGCGGAATATTTTAAATCTTCGTAATAATAAAGAGCATGTTTATATTCATTCCTAATTTACAGCTCTACACTAAACAAAAAGAATTGAATTTTATGTCGGAATATTTATATTTTTATATATTATGTTTTAATTTTATTCTAAATCCATACTTTTAGTTTGTGGTATTATCAAATCTATACTTTTGAATGAAATTTAATATATAAATGTATATCTTAACTCGGTCAATAATTGATTTTGATTTTTAAAATAACAAAACTATCCCTAATAAAAAAAATAAAAATAAAAACTAAAACTTTCCAATATTAAAAAAAAAAATTAAAAACACAAAAAACCTCATTTTAATGGTATTTTGCATATTTTTAAGGTCAAAATTGGAAGTTCATAATAAATTCTTATCCCTAAAAATGATGATCAGTTGAAATCCTTTCAACCTTCATATCTTTTCTAAAAGACTGTAAATTTTTCTCCCAAAAAAAATTAAATGTGGACTTCTCAAAATGTTATACCTGAAAAACTAAGAAGTACAAACTGCCTATAAATCTTAACATATATTAAGTAGGTTAAAAGTTTTAATTTAATTTTATCAAAAAGAAAAAGAAAAATAACTCCGCACACAACAAAAGGTGCCCAATCTGCCTTAACATTGGTGAGCCATGGGTTAAGGCTTTTATGAACCGTTCGGAAATGACCAAACCGCCTTGCTCATCGTTCCCCTTGGCTATAAATTTTTTTCATCATTTCAATCTTTGAAATCTAGACTTCCAATATTGTTTCTACGTTTTAAACCACCCCTTCTACACCCATCTTTAATAGGCTTTTTAAAAATATTCCTAATTTTATTATGCTGTCATGCGTAAGTTATAATAAAACGTCGTTTTCAATTATCGTTGTTTCTAGTTTTATGTCATTGATTTGTGTAGTTGTTGTCGTTTTCACATTGTCTGTTCCTTTTAGGATTATTATCATCGGTGTTCTTGAACTTTAGAATCATTTCTAATTTGTTCTTGAATTTTAAAAATTCTCACTTTACACTCTAAATTTTGAATTGTTCTCACTTAATCTCTTCTATTATGGTTTTTGTTAAAAATGAGTACAAAAAAGAGAATAATGCAGTTATGTAGTCTTTTTGTTTAAATTTCTGCTAAAAACAAACAAGTAAAAATCATATAATCACACTCAACTCTCTTTTTTTCCGTCTGTTTTTAACAAAATTTCTTATAAAAAGGCTTAAATGAGATAAATTCAAAATTTAAGACGCAAAGTGAAAGTTTGAGAAAATGACTTCAAAATTCAAGGCACCGGGTAGTGTGTCGTTTAAAGTTCATGGCAGTTTCACTTTATATGTCGTTTTTTATGTTGATGTCCTTTTCTGTGTTTCTATGTTGTACGTAGTTCTTTGTTGTCGTTTTTATGTCAGCTGTTGTTTTCTTGCAGTTATCGTTTCTACGTTTTGCCTTTTACCTCGCATGTTGTTTCCAGGTTATGTGTCAGTTCATATTTTGTCGTTCCGTTTATTATTATTCAGTTTCGGTTCTCGACCTCTATGCCAGTTTGTACTTTGTAGTGTCTTCCTATTATTTTGTTTTATTATTTTTTTTCAGTTTTTCACCTTTTAACATCATATGTTGTTTTCTAGTTGTCAACCTTTCAACGTCGTTTTCAAGAGTCGTCGACTCGTCATCTTTGCATTTTTTTTTTGTCGTTTTTCTTGTCAAAATCCCGTTATACGCCGTTTTTATGTTCTCGTTTTTAAGCTTTATTTATGTTGTTTCTCAGTTCTTTTCGGGTTCCCATTATCTGTCGTTTTCTCAGTTCTTTTCGTGTCTTCATTGAAGGTTGAACTAACAGAACAACACATAAATCACATTTATGTAAACAACACATATAGTGAAGTTGATTACGTAAACAAATCGCACGAAACCTTTATTTTACAATATGAAGCTGTCACTTCATATATTTTTTTCCTCACTAGATACGTAAAATAAGATTGTGAATGCTCTCAGCAGCTACATAAGACGAAAAATGAAGAGAATTTAATTTATATATATTGTCAAATAACTTCACGCTCAACTAGCCTCCAGTGTAGCCTTCAGAAAAGATTTCGAGAAAATGAGTGACCTTTGAAATTAGCAGCATAAAAAGCTTTCTTAACTTGAAAACAAACGTATGCTGCTGGACTAGAGCATTAATTGCAGCAATCAAAGGCGTCTCGCAAAAAGAGAGATCTCAAATCAAGAATGTAAAAAGAATATGAAGGAAAGTAACACTTCAAAAAAGCCATTTTTCTAGCATACAAATTGCGTTCCACTGTAACAATGCGTAATGGGGAAAGATGTTGAAAAATCATACAACTCAGAAAAAGAAGGGACAGACTACGAGGGGCAGCAAACAAACACACAGATCACCCAATTATAGGCTCTAAAAGAATATCAAGAGCAACAACATAGCTGCATCAAATAAAAAATAATACTAACCTATGTCCCCTTTGAAGCTATTGTCCTTTCGTTTCATTTAAGCTATATACTCCTCTCTCTCTCTCTCTCTCTCTCTCTCTCTCTCTCTCTCTCTCTCTCTTCTTTTCTTACAACATCAAACAAATTTTACATGGCTAATGCAGACCTTATGACTTTTAAACCATGGACAGTTCAAATTTGTCAGCAGGCTGGATCATGCGACTTAGACACTACAATGTAGAGAACCAAAACTTCAGCCCGGAAATTACAGAGGCAGCAGCAAGATGGTGCTTACCCTAAAAGGAATTAAAGAGCTTCGTTCTTTGCTTTTATCCAAATGGGTTCCCTCCGGAAGGAAAAGGAGTTGGGGTAGTAGGTGCTGAGAATCTACCACCCAACTGCTGATCGGTATTTACGGAGCCAAAAGCTGCACCCTCAGCAACACCTCCTCCAACTCCTTGATGTCTGCAAGTGGCCGAAATAGGAATGTCATCACTACTTTCAAAATAGTATAAATAACTCCAGCAGAACTGTTGTCAGTCTCAAATGAAAAAATTGATACAAGAAATGTGTGCGTGTTAGAGAGAGAGAGAGAGAGAGAGAGAGAGATCCACCAATCTCTTGTATGATGTAATGAAAAATGGAACCTCCCTAGTATTTGAATAAAAAGACAACCAGAAAATTTTATCAGGCACTCTGATATAGAAATAACTCTTAATGAAATTTCCAATCCTGGAAGTATAATTTGCATTATACCAATCACCAACAACATAAATAAGTCTCTAATTATTATATTTTACTGCTCTCACACGCAAACTAGCAAAGTTCAAACTTCAAGGCCGGCTAGCCAAAAGCATTCAGACTACAATAAACAAGAGTTGAATTTGGTTTCTTACCCATGGCAATCTAAAAGATAACTTTAATGGAACCCACCCAACCCCTGACCCAAACACATGCCCACCCACCTCCTCTCTCGGTGTTTTCTTGATGCACTACTTATTCATTGGCCATCTAGTTTCCAAATGTTTTCCCTTCATCCAAAAGAAACAAGTAGTCACAAGAGCACTTACCCGAAAGCTGGCATGTTACCCGGAACTTGTTGCCCTATGTAGGCCCCTGAGATTTCAAACCGGAATTCAGCACAAAGAGAAGGAAAGAAAAATGTATATACATATGTACGTATTTGTACATATATTACAGAAAAATGAGGAGAAGGATAAGGGAGCTATGATGGGATTTTATATTTTCACAAAAACAAAAAGGGATAGGATAATTTACTCGGTGGCATTGCTGATCCATAAGGAGCATGGGGAGGGAAAACTGATGTATATGCTGACGACTGGGGCATCCATGCAGATGATGGGGCACCAAGGCTAGAAGTACGCATTAAACCTGATGGTGGCATGCTCGATGGAGGCACGCCTACAGTAGGAATGATTGATGGTGGCATGCCTGAGGGAGGCAAGCCAGATGGATTCAGCACATTTGGTAGAGCACTTTGCAAGGGCACCATGGATGGAAACTGCACCATAAGAAGCACGCATCAAAAGATGAAAACAATACAATCAGTTCATGAGCTATTGTAGAACATGCAGAATCCAGAAGAATACTCAGATTGCAGAATGTTCAAGAAGGGTACAAGTATTTAAAAAAATAAATAAAAGAAAACACATACTGCTGGGACTTGTACTGGAGGATCACTATTCAGATCAAATGGGTTTGTTGACTTCGATGACTGCTGATAAGTGGGAATGGGCTGTAAAAAGAGCACAGATTCAAATTCTGTTAATCTCCCCTATGGTTAACAAAGTCATTCAGTGAAATAGAACCAAGCGATCAACTTCATTGGTTGCAACGATACCATTGCGGGATTGTACTGCATTGGATACCCCATACCACCAGGTGGACCAGTTTGCCACCCAGGAACTGGTGCACGATAGGCTGAATAGCTCAAGGTAAAAAGGTCCTGCAGGTGGTAAATGATTTATCACACATTCACATGCAGAAGAAGATTTACAAATATTCAATCAAATCCAATTTCACTGGATAGTACCTCGGGCAGTTCGTTTCTTCCACTCAATTTTACATCTGAAGCAGGAGGTTGCGATGTAACGACAGAATTAAACTCGTGCGCAGGTTTTGGAAAAGCTGAGGGTGCCTGGGCCATTGAAGTACTCGGAAACCCTTGTGCATTAGGGGCAGGTGCTAAATTCCATGGCTGACAATAATTCATGAATTTATATTTATTAAGGAATGAGAATACTGCATTACTTCAAAATACAATAACAAAATTGACAGACCAAACCAAAAGCTCCACCTGATTGCTTGAAGGTCCGGTAACAGATTGTATAAATTGTTGAGCAGTTGACTGATTACCAGCAGCAGGAAATAAAGAAGGTTGTTGCTGTTGTGGCTGATGCTGTTGCTGCACAGTTGGCCAATGTGTAGCACCAGAAACATTGACAAGGGTATTACCACCATTAACTGGCAATGCTGGTGCCAATCCTGGGGCAACTGCTGACACACCATCCAGGGGAAATGATGATAAGTTGTTAACTGAAGCAATTGCAGGAGCATTAGTAACGGAAAACACAAGTTTCCCAACAGTACAAAATGAGTCATCACTAAGCAGCAACACAAACATCTTACCCGTAGTTGTTACAGTAGCCACATTGCCTGATGATCCAGAAACAGGAGCAGAGGCAGGATCCAAAACTGTCAATTGTGATAGTACAGATTCCAATGGGTTGGCATTAGGAGCTTGAGACACTTTTGCAGGGGGGAATGCATCAAATGAGGCCCAGTTACTGTCATTTGTTGAATTTGCTGGTTGTGGAGTGGAATGAGCTACGGTATATTGTTGAGGAGGTGTTGCAGCAACAACAGGAGGCTCAGGATCAGCATCAAAGTCGATTAAACTGCCAGTAGCCTCCAATTTAACTTCCACCGGGTTCCCATTGGTGGATCCCAAGCTACTAGAGGATGCAGTCCTCTGCAATTAAAAGGAGTTATCGAAAATTAACACATATTGACTTGTAATTGGAAAAGATAATAGAAGGCCTATACAAAGTCAGTACTGTAACAAAGGCTAGGTAACAGAACTAGTAAGTTTATAACATCGGAAAGCGTGCAAAGCTTTATGACCGAAAGATTATCTAAGTCAAGAAGGGAACAAAACAAAGAAAGAGCTTCTCAAATGAATAAGTAAAGAACAGCAGGGAAAAAAACTAGGTCCTAGAAAGACTAAATTATATGATTAACCAACATAGAAAAGCCCACGCTTAGTTCCATCCTACAGTTTAGGAAAAAGGAACCTATTTTTTGTTTTGTTTTGTTTTTCACCCCTCATTCCTAACAAATGGAGTATCAAATACCCCTTTAAACATTAACGATATATGGAAATGATCATTACTAAGGTATCGAATTACAATCACAGAGAAAAGGAATTAGTGCTTGTTGAATCAGGTATCTCCAGATAAATAACATAAAAGCTTTAAATTAAAAGATGTCCCACCTGTGTATGTGCAGAGGCGTCAACAATCCTGGCAGCAGGTTTTGGAGGCTCACTAATACGAAGAGGTATTGTGTTCTCCCCTAAAATTTCCCTAACGGGCCTCACTACAGGGGAGCTGGATGAATCTGGGTCTTTTGGCCGTTCAGGAGACCTCCCTTCCAGCTTCAAATCTCCATCAGACATTCTACGTTCTTCAGATCTCCTTCCATTCCCAAACCTATCCTCTCGGCGCCAATCATTGACAATCTCAGAGCGGGCAGGACTTCTTCTATAATCACTATACTGCCGGCTTTCTTGGTCATATCCAGGGCTTCTTCCTCCATCATAACTCCTTCCTCCAGGACTAGATTTTTCACTATAACGACGTTCATTGTCCTCATATGGTGGGCTTCTAGACCCTCCTTGATATGAATCTGTTCTCCTGTTTTCATATAATTCTTCACCCTGTACAAGAGAAGAATGCTTCAACTTAAACCCAAAAGAATCCTCTCATAACACAAACTGTAATCATAAAATAGACCCATGCATTCATTTTTAGTAATATAGTATATATGCTGCTCGATAGAAAGACTATGTAGAAGAAACTAAAATTGAGGGAAAGAATCAGGTTACCATCTTTGCCCTAGGGGGCTTGTCATGGTTCTTCTCACCGCTAAATCTTCTATCCACATAAACATGCTTGATAAAATCTCGAAGTCTTTCGATGTTACTGGCAGCAAAGACATCAAATCAGAATGCAAGGCATACACAACAAAACAAAAATGTGATCAAGCAGTAAAAACCTGCTGTCTGGAAAAGAATTCCGCTGTGGATCCCACTCTTTCAGGTAAATTTCCTTTGCACGCTGAGAATGAGAAACAGAGATAAGCCCTAAGTAATAAATGATTAGGAAAAAAAAAATGAAAGCTGGGCGAGAAACCAGCAGATAGGAGGGAAACATGCATTACCTTGTTTCCCCCTTCTTGAAGAGCACTAACTTCTTGTGAAGTAAATTTAGCCATTGATATTGACTTCACTCGGTGAGTGAACTCCCGGCTGAAAATATTTTCAGATAAATAGTAAAGTGCAAGCAAATAACATCAAGTAGAACAAAGTTTTTTACAAATCCCCTCTTTGTACACCTATAATAGAAGAAGCAAACTTTAAGGTTATACACAGAAAAGCAGAAGACTTACTGTATTCCACTGCATGTTGTGCAAACAAACGTCCAGAAATTTGTGCAAACATATTGTGGTCCCTGCTTGAAAAGAAGAAGAAAGAAATTATGTGATGGACCACAAATTGAAACTGATTAAGTAATACATAAGTTCATGTGCTCAATCACTGGAATTGCTACATTAATAGTAATATCAATCTGTTAAGTAATTAGTGAACACCAGAACTGTTATAACCAAAACAAGCAACAGTCTGCAGAAAATTCTGATAGCAGCTCTTTCAGTAGGTTGTCACATCCTTAGTTTCCTTAAGAAACTAGCAGTAACTACAATAGTCTCTATTCTACGATTCCATCAAGATCCATATTCTAGCTCAGGGACCATTCAACATAATCCTTCTCATTAGTGCACACTAAGTTTTTATAGCATTATTTTAAGACTCATTTGATATCGCCTATTATTATTTGCCTTTGGTCAAATGAACAAGATTTCCAATGATCTACGACAGTCGAAATAAATTTGATTCAAGAGGACCTTTATTAACCAAAAGATTCTTAATAACTGGATTGTCAAATACCAACAACCATCTTGAAGAAATCAGTTTCTCAAACAATTGAAAGCTGTTATTGGATTCCACTTCACTCAATAGAACCCAGAAAAAGCTAGATTAAGCCCTTGCCAACGGAGGTTATATAGATTTGAGATTATAGGACCCAGTATAAGACTTTGACCCATCAATGCCTCAAAGTTCAAAGAAAAATAAAGTGGCCTGGCCTCGGTTCTTTCTATGGCTAATAGACATAAGACATCATACATTATATCATGTTATCTAATTTCAATCAATCCATAGTTAGCGACAAACAAAACATATATCAACATTACGGCTCTATGATATTGAAATGATGCCATATCAAAGTTGACGAGAAAAATGCGAAAATTAGCGTACCAAACTGTTACAGTTAATGCATCTTCGATTCTCTTGAAGTTTAAGCAGACCACGAATAATTCTTTCATTCTTCTCATCTTCTTTTACTCGATTCGCCATTCCCACTGTCCATTTCAAATTAAAGCAGAGTTATGCACAGAAAACACTGATCAGGACGCAAAACATGAAACTATCACTTAATCCTTTTTCCCCGAATAATTGACACCATCAGAATTTCTTCGAACTTGAAAAAATAATTCATCAAAAATTCGAATTCTCAACTCACGCCACTCAAATTCCTATCTTTACGTCGAAGAATTACCCTAAACTAATCCATAGTCTCATTAAGCTCGCAAAGATTAAGGCTTTAATCAATCGGAATGTCGAATCAACACACTAGAATTTCAATTACTCTTTTCTCTCCTCCGCTTACATTTCCGCAACACAAAGAAAATACAAATTCAACTCCGTAATACAACGGATCCGCGAAAATCAGAGGAGCAAAAGGAAATTCTGAAAAGAAAGTAACGGAATCGATCGCGAACTGTTTGGAACCCTGGAAAATGGGCGAGAAAATGAAGGCAAAATCAGTAACAGACCTGGATTCTACTGCAGACGAAGACGACGCTGGTCTACCTCTGCAGCCTTCTGTAGCTGACGACTTTGACAAGAAGATCCACCGCCTCACGCGCTTCGCGTGTTCTTGAGAGAGAGAGAAGAGAGAGAAAGAGTTGCAGATCTTTAAGGGGGGCTGATAACTATGGTCTCTTTGTACAGCTCAGAGCTTAACCAAAGTCTACTTTTTCGTAAAATGTAGAGAGAGAAAGGAAATAGAGAAGAGAAAGAGAGAGAAAGAGTTGGGTTCGGATTAGGGATTTGTTAGGCTGTGCTCGGACACAGGCGACCGTATCCTGTTCCCGCGGAAATGCCGGTTCCTGTATTGATCTAATTGGTCAAAAGCTCATGATGACGGTCAACGGTCGTACTAGGCGACTGTTTAGCAGTTAATCACCCTCTCTTTATGTGTTTAATTACGAATCAACCAATGGATTTGGGCATCAAGTTTCTTTTTCTAATTGACACTATTGGACTGGATTTCAAATGTCACGTTCATTTTACTGATTTGAGTTTAAAATTTAAATTTTATTATAGTAAAAAGTTTTTAAAAATAATCACGTTTAACTTTTTTATTACATTAAAAAGTTCTTATATAAAGTCACATCTCAACTCAAATTAAAAACTCGCATCAACAAACTAAACGGGCCCAAATTCTTTCTCTTTCTTTTAGTTTAAGCTCCAATTAAGTCAATTTCTTTTATTTATGGTATGTTTATTTCACAACTTAAATTATGTTATAAAAAAAATATTTTAATAAAAAATTTAAATTTAAATTTTTGTGAGAAAAATACTTAAATTATTGAGTTATGAAATAAACAAAGGATTACATTTATTTGAATTTGAATAAAAAAAATAATTTTTAACAAAAAGAGAAAAGTGGATCAGTTGTCACTTTTTTTTTTTTTTTTTTGGAGAATTTATTGGTAGCACTCTTTTTGAACTTCGTATTTATATCAAAAAAATTTTTATTTAAATTTTTATGAGATTTCATTTTCATTAGATCTAATGTCCACAAACCTGCACTATCTAGGTAATAACTTTTGAAGTAATGAAACTCAATCGACAATCGGCCTACGTATGAATTATGTTTTGTAAATTGTCCAAAACACCCTTGCCTGAATTATGTTTTGTAAACTCAATCGACTATATTGGTTGGTTTAAAGGTCTTTAAAAACACCCTTGCCTGAAAAGTCATACAGAATCAAACAGACAATACTTGCTGTATACAATTGTCATGCATGTTGGCGAATTGTCCTAACCACAATTTTACGGGAAAAAGAAAAAAATGACAAATGAAATTTCAAAGTTTGAGAAATTGTCCACATTGTATAAAAGATAAACGCACATATATGCATATGTACCATCCTTGTCACAAATCTTGTGTACTAATCCAAACCATATTTCATTAGTGCCACGCAACATAAGAAAATGATGATAATGTGGAAAAATTTGCATCAGTTAGAGCCCGTTTAGCTCGCTGATTCGAGTTTTTAATTCGAGTTGAAATGTGACTTTATGTGAGAGTTTTTTACCGTGGTAAAAAAGTTAGATGTAACTATTTCTGAGAGCTTTTTACTGTAGCAAAATTCGAATCGATAAAATGAACGGAGTCTTAAATTTTAACTAGATAATAGTACGTGGGGTTAAGTATGTGGATTTTGTATTACGCTAGGAGAATACTACAACCGTTTTTTTTTTTTTTTTTATGTCATAGCGTGGAGTTTATTTATCAAGCGTTAGATGATGAAAAGTGTTATTTATCATGTGAATAATAGTAAAATTTTGATTGCTCAATGTTTTTAATTATTATCTAATATTTTTGCATGGTAAGACAAGATTTCACGCCGCAGTTTGAATATTCCTTGAATTGAGGTGGCCCAAATCAACTTTCGCTAAAGCTATCCAAACTCGAGGAGTATAATAAAGGAGAAGTCAATAAGTCTTGGTGCATTTTCTAATAAACTATACTGGATAGATTTCTTTTGAATTTTTAGTCTGTGCGTCACATCATGCATTTATATATTTATCTTCATTAATATGCTTGCCTGATTAATTTAGATTGATGTCATATTAATTCTAATATTCTATTCTACCAAAAAGATTATTGCTATGATTAATTTCTTTTTTCTTGTGGGGTTGCGCGTGCAGGGGATAAAACGACAGAAATCTAAAAGATGAAACCAAGGATTAGTAACAATCCATCATTTAAACAATACGTGAAAAGTAGTAGTAATAATAATAATAATGAATATTCGGTGCGTAATACTAGCTTTTAGCTGGCTTGGCGGTCACAACTAAATCGAACCATTTTATATTTGTACACAGGTTGATCTTTTTTTATTTTTCATTTTTTTATTTTTTTTGGTAGACTTGTAGCCAGATGGATTTTAATACATATATATATATATATATATATATGGCGTGTGTTTTAGACATCGCTATTGAATGATTGAGTATATATGCTAGAATATTGTCGTGTTACTAGAGTCTCATGTGTTTCATTAGGAACCATTCAAATTTTGGGACTACAGATAATCAGATCAATAGAGACATTTGAGTGCAAGAAAGTTCTCGAACTTACTTCAAGAGCATTTTTCTGGTGTGAAATATAGCCAAAGGAATAAATACCTACATTTGTACACATACTATACGTATACACATACACACACATACATATATACGTATATGTATATGCACATGGTTCCTCTTTTATCTTATTTAATTTCTTCTCGAGGCTTTTCACCAAAGGTCGAAGAATATTGATATCTTATTGCGTATATTTTATAGAATATGAAGGGTGCGTTTAGAATTGATTTCAAAATGATTTTATTTTTTTGTATGAAATTGAAAATGAAAAGATTTTTAATCTCAGATAGAAATCGTTTTTGAAAATGTGTTTAGTAGTTTTATTAAGAGATTGTTTGCAGTTTAAGAATAAACTGAAACTCCGTTTCTTTGGACCTTATTTGCGCAGATTTGTGCTAGCTTTCTTCGATGATATTCTTGTTTACAGTGATAGCTTGGAGTCTCACTTGGAGCATCTGCGGATCACCTTCACTTTGCAAATAAAAAAAAATGTTCCTTCGGTCAGGAGCGACTGGAGTATCTTAGGCACATCATTTCAGCCCAAGCTGTGGAGGCCGATCCCTCTAAGATCAGAGGAATTGTGGAGTTGCCGATTCCTAGAGATGTCAGGGGTTTGAGAAGGTTTTTAGGGCTAACAGGATATTACAGACGATTCGCTATGGATTATGGTAAGATTGCTCGCCCTCTTACCAACCTATTAAAGATGGTGCTTTTGAATGGAATTCTGAGGCACATGAGGCGTTTGTGGTGCTTAGGCAAGCAATGACTTCGGTTCCAGTGTTAGCCTTACCGAATTTTGATAAACAGTTTGTGGTGGAGACTGATGCTTTAGGGACAGGGCTTGGGGTTGTGCTTATGCAGGATGGTCGACCCTTGGCATACCTTAGCCAAGCTTTATCCTTGAGGGGGAGGGCGAAGTCTGTATATGAGAGGGAACTGATGGCCATAGTCTTAGCAGTGTAGAAATATAGACATTACTTCATGGGAAGGCTTTTTGTGATTAGAAAAGATCAGAGGAGTTTGAGAGGTTTTTTATGGATCAACGAGTAATTGATCAACACTTCCATGCCTTTCACCTTAAGGACAAGGTACAATTCATAGGGGGGATAATATTAGGCCTCCAATCTTGCGTATTTACAGTAGAAAGAATAGGCGTGGCCGTAGGGGAATACGTGACAGCAGGAAAATGAGTAATCTCAGGTAACTTTGGTTGAGAGGGGAACCGTTAAGGGAGAGCCAATAGAAGAATGCCACGTGGATCATGCAATTACATGAGAGAATTAAAGATGAGAATTCAATGAGGAAAGGGGAGGGGGAAGAACATTATAACGAGAGGTCGCTAGTTTTTCAAATTTCCAGCAGGGTGGAAAGTGTAGCTTGAATGAACTCTGATTCTTGAATTCAACACTATTGTATCTTGTTTCTTTTTCTTATGTATTGCTCTTTCATATTAGTTGCTGGTTACCTATCATAATTATAATTGTTTTGTCGTTTTAATGTTAAAATAGAAGAACCAACTGAAATGGATTAGTGTTACTCCAATTAAGAAATTACTAAAGATGTTGAAATGGCAATCATGAAATATGAGTACGAGACAAGTTCTAATGGTACTTTCTTTTTCTTTTATTGTCTGATTTCTCTCTCTCACACACACACGTGCGTGTTATTCTCTCTCTATAATTGTCTCTGTTGGGAACGATATGCAGTAATTTATCAACACTTCCATGCCTTTCACCTTAAGGACAAGGTACAATTCATAGGGGGGATAATGTTAGGCCTCCAATCTTACGTGTTTACAGTAGAAAGAGTAGGCGTGACTGTAGGGGAATAAGTGACAGTAGGGAAATGAGCAATCCCGAGGTAAATTTGGTTGAGAAGGAAACCATTAGGGGAGAGTCAATAGAAGAGCGCCACGTCGATCATGCAGTTACATGAGGGAATTAAAAAGCAGAGTTCAAGGAGGAGAGGGGGGGGGGGGGGGGGGGGGGGGGGGAAGAACATTGTAACCGGAGGTCGCTGGTTTTTTTCGAATTTCTAGCAGGGTGGAGAATGCAGCTTGAATGAACTCTGGTTCTTGAATTAAGCACTGTTGTATCTTGTTTCTTTTTCTTATGTATTGTTCTTTCATATTAGTTGCTAGTTACCTATCATAATTATAATTGTTTTGTTGTTTTAATGTTATAGTAGAATAACCGATTGAGATGGATTGGTGTTACTCCAATCAAGAAATTACTAAAGATGTTGAAATGGCAATCACGAAAGATGAGTACGAGACAAGTTCCAATGGTACTTTCTTTTTCTTTTATTGTCTGATTTCTCTCTCTCACACACACACGTGCGCATTACTCTTTCTATATCTCTGTCTCTGTTGGGAACCATATGCAGTAATTGATCAACATTTTCATGCCTTTCACCCTAAGGACAAGGTGCAATTCATACGGGGGATAACGTTAGGCCTCTAAACTTGTATGTTTACAGTAGAAAGAATAGGCATGGCCGTAGGAGAATAAGTGACAACAGGCAAATGAGTAATCTCGAGATAGATTCGGTTGAGAAGGAAACTGTTAGGGGAGAGCCAATAGAAGAGTGCCACGTGGATCATGCAGTTACATGAGGGAATTAAAGAGGAGAATTCGAGGAGGAGAGGGGGAGGAACATTGTAATGGGACGTCGCCGGTTCTTTGAATTTCCAGCAGGGTGGAGAGTGCAGCTTGAATGAACTCTGGTTCTTAAATTCAACACTCTTATATTTTGTTTCTTTTTCTTATGTATTGTTCTTTCATATTAGTTTCTGGTTACATATCATAATTATAATTATTTTGTTGTTTTAATGTTAAAGTAGAAGAACCGACTGAGATAAATTGGTGTTACTCTAATCAAGACATTGCTAAAGATGTTGAAATGGCAATTACGGAAGATGAGTACGAGACAAGTTCCAATGGTACTTTTTTTTCTTTTATTGTTTGATTTCTCTCTCTCACACACATATGTGCGCGTTATTCTCTTTATGTCTCTATCTCTGTTGGGAACCATATGTAGTAATTAATCAACACTTCCCTGCCTTTCACCTTAAGGACAATGTGCAATTCATAGGGGGATAATGTTAAGCCTCTAATCTTATGTGTTTATAGTAGAAAGAATAAGCTTGGCCATAGGGGAATAAGTGACAGCAGGGAAAGGAGCAATCCCGAGGTAGATTCGGTTGAGAAGGAAACCGTTAGGGGAGAGCTAATAGAAGAGCACCACGTGGATCATTCAGTTACATGAGGGAATTAAAGATGAGAATTTGAGGAGGAGAGCTTATGTATTGTTCTTTCATATTAGTTGGTGGTTACCCATCATAATTATAATTATTTTGTTGTTTTAATGTTAAAGCAGAAGAACTGATTGAAATGGATTGGTGCTACTCCAATCAAGAAATTGCTAAAGATGTTGAAATGGAAATCACGGAAGATGAGTACGAGACAAGTTCCAATGGTACTTTCTTTTTCTTTTATTGTCTGATTTTTCTCTCTCACACACACACGTGCACGTTATTCTCTCTCTATCTCTGTCTCTGTTGGGAACGATATGCAGTAACTGATCAACACTTCCCTGCAATTCACCTTAAGGACAATGTGCAATTCATAAGGGGATAATGTTAGGCCTCCAATCTTGCGTGTTTACAGTAGAAAGAATAGGTGTGGCCGTAGGAGAATAAGTGACAGCAGGGAAATGAGCAATCTCAAGGTAGATTCGGTTGAGAGGGAAACTGTTAGGGGAGAGCCAATAGAAGAGCACCACGTGGATCATGCAGTTACATGAGGGAATTAAAGAGGAGAATTCGTGGATGAGAGGGGGGAAGAACATTGTAACGAGAGGTCGTTGGTTCTTCAAATTTCCAGTAGGGTGGAGAGTGTAGCTTGAATGAACTCTGGTTCTTGAATTCAACACTCTTGTATCTTGTTTCTTTTTCGTATGTATTGTTCTTTTATATTATTTGCTGGTTACTTATCATAATTATAATTGTTTTGTTGTTTTAATGTTAAAGTAGAATAACCGACTGAATTGGATTGGTGTTACTCCAATTAAGAAATTTCTAAAGATGTTGAAATGACAATCACGGATGATAAGTATGAGACATGTTCCATTGGCACTTTCTTTTTCTTTTATTGTTTGATTTCTCTCTGCCTCACACACGCGTGCACATTATTTTCTCTGTCGTTGTCTCTGTCTCTATGTATATCTCACGTAAAAGTGAATATTTTAAATTATTATATTGAATTATGAGTGTATTTTTAATGTTGAAGTAGAAGAATCAAGTGACATCAATTGGTATACTGATTGAGAAAGTCATAAAGACGTCGAAATGATAATTTTGGACGATGATGAGAGAAATTCCAGTGGTACATTATTTTTCTTTAATTGTTTGATTTCTCTCACACACACGTGTGTGCTTTATTCTTTCTATGTCTCTGTTTCTATGTATATCTCATATAAAAATGAATCTTTTTAATTATTATATTTGATTATAAGTGTGTTTTCAATGTTGAAGTAGAAGAATCAAGTAACATCGATTGTTATACTGCTCAAGAAAGTCATAAAGGCATCAAAATGACCATTATGGATGATGACGAGACAAGTTCCAATAGTACATTCTTTTATTTTTAGTTGTTTGATCTATATATATATATGTATATATACAAATAACACAAAAAAGTTATGTTTCTTGATAGATATTGACATCGAAAGTCCTAAGGACGCTCTAAATATGGATGTTAAAGTTCAATGTAGTACATTTATCAATGGTAATATATATATATATAGGAATTGTCTCCAAAAAAAAACACATGTCTGGTCAGCACCAAAGTGTATGGACCATTGGATTACGATTGAAAGCTTTTATTTTATGATGGGTTGGAAACAACTGTCATTTGAAGCGTGCTTGGGTTATCTTTATCATTTGTGATTTATGGGTTTCATCAAGTGAGAGAAAAAAGGGTCGGGGTTCCTTGCTCTTCCTGCTTCTTCAGTGGGTTCTTCTTCGATGAGTTTAGAAGCTTGCTAAAGCGGTGGGTTCTTCTTCCATCAATGGAAGTGTTGAAGCAAGAAGTCATTTGTTTCCTAGAATGAAGGAGGAAAAAGCCCATCGACGGGGGCGTAGAAGTGCGATTGGGTTCTTCCACCTCTGATTTGTGGTTGATTATCGACGCTTTTCTAACATTCTAGGAGAAACCTCTCAAGTGAGGTAATCATCCAAACATTCTAAATTTACAGAATTTGTAAAAATGAAATTAAGTTTGCCCTCAATTGGAGACTCAAAATGTCTGGAAAATGAAAAAAATGATTAATGAGTCCCATGTTCTCTAGTAGTGGGTTACGCTGTAAACTTATAAATAAGGGGAACTTTTTAGAATATAGAAACACTATGGTTGGAGTCCAATTTGTGAGTATTTGGAGCTAATTTGAATTTGTTGCTTTGATTTGGTAGTCATAGGGTTTGTATATGTGATACACGGAAGACCTATTGGGAAACCAACTATACTAAGTAGCGGTGAAATACTATCAAACTACTATGTTAGTAGAAAACCTATATACATGCAGTAGAAGTTGATTTATTTATTAGTTTTCTGAATAAGAATGAACCGAAGATGTTTGTGGATGATAATATGCAGTATAAGTTGTTCTAGTTGAAACAGTCTTTTACTAAAAGTGGTATTATTTTACATCATACGCTATGCGGTAAGTCGTGTAAGCATTAATAATGAAAGTCCAGGTGGATGTTGAAGTTCAACGTAGTACATATATCAATGGTAATATATCTATATGTAGGAATGGTCTCCAAATCGACAGTGTAAAAACACATGTCTGGTCAGCACAAAAGTGTATGGACTGTTGGATTGAAATGGACGATCACGATTGAAAGCTTTTATTTTATGATGCGTAGGAAACGACTGTCGTTTGAAGCGTGCTTGGGATATCTTTATCATTTGTGATTTGTGGGTTTCATCAAGTGAGAGAGAAAAGGGTCGGGATTTCTTGCTCTTTTTGCTTCTTCGGTGGGTTTAGAAGCTTGCTGAAGCGGTGGTTCTTCTACCATCAACGGAAGTGTTGAAGCAAGAAGTCATTTGTTTCCTAGAATGAAGTAGAAAAAAGCTCATCAACGGAGGCGTAGAAGTGTAGTTGGGTTCTTCCACCTCTGATTTGTGGTTGATTATCGACGTTTTTCTAACATCCTAGGAGAAACCACTCAAGTGAGGTAATCGGCCAAACATTCTAAATTCTACATAATTTGTAAAAACGAACTTAAGTTTGCCCTCGATTGGAGACTCGAAATGTCTGCAAAATAAAAAAAAAAAATGATTAATGAGTCTCATGTTCTCTAGTATTGGATTACGCTGTAAACTTATAAATAGGGAGACTTTTTGGAATATAGAAACACTATGGTTGGAGTCTAATTTGTGAGTATTTAGGGCTAATTTGAATTCGTTGCTTTGATTTGGTAGTTATAAGGTTTGTATATGTGGTACACGGAAGACCCATTGGGAAACCAACTATACCAAGTAGCGGTGAAATATTGTCAAACCACTGTGTTAGTAGAAAACCTATATACATACAATGGAAGTGGATTTATTTATTAGTTTTCTGAATAAGAATGAAACTGAAGATGTTTGTGAATGATAATATGCAATATAAGTTGTTCTAATTGAAACAAACTTTTACTAAAAGCGGTATTATTTTACATCATACGCTATGCGGTAAGTCGTGTAAGCATTAATAATGAAATTGTGAAATTAGTCATGTTGTTATCTTGGGGTTCTTGTGGGGGTTTTGTTTTTTAAATTTCTGTTTGAATGTTTTGAGGACATGTGCATCCCATGACATATTAAGCTTAAATTATTCATTCAGTATTAATTTAGTTGATTATTTATGAAGTGTTATTTTTAGCAACAGAAAAGACAAGATATGGTGACTAGATGGGGGCATAAAAGGCAGCGTGTGGAGGAGGACGAAGATCGTGTGTCCAATGCAGGTAGTAAAAAAAATTTACATGTACGATGCTCTCCGCGGATGTTTGCTAATTTCCGTTGTATTTTCTCCACTTTCTTTTTATTATGTAGGTGCTACTATGATGTTGGCCTTTTGTCGTTTAAGATGTCCCATGTTTTTTGTGCATGGGATCTTCAACTTTGACCATATGATTTGGAGAGCTGGCGTTTTAGGGAGTCCACATGATATAAGTTTTGAAGAATTGAGATTGGACCAACTTTATAAAGGGACTTGGGCATTTCAATCTCTGCCTTTGGGGGCATTTTTCCCAGCAGCTTTTAAATAATGAGGACGATATAGGTCAGACTTTTAGTATAAATATTTGCTACTCTTTTTGTCAGCATCTAGGAAGCAAATGTTAGAATTTGCCATCCATTGTTTCAGTAATTCACAAGTAATAAAGTTCTCAAGTTTTTTCTTCCATTCTACTGTCTTTTTTCTGCCGTCCGTTTCTATTACATCTTCTGTTAGCGTTTTTATGTAGTTGAGGTGTTCATGTTGGGCATGATGAAACAGAGCAACCCTTATGCAATAATCGATAAATGAAAAAAATTTGCATCTCTAGTCACTCGCTTCTGGAACTTGACACACTGATCTTTAAAGCTCTAGTTCAATAAAAGAAACAGAAGAGAACATGTTAATATACATTGTCACTACCAATAGATCTTATCATGGCAAACTTTTCTGTCAGAAATTTAATTCAACTCGTTCGAAACGTTAACATGGCAGCGCAGTACATCCTACTCTTCTTTCTTCAAGGAATGATAAGATTTATCAGAGTAACTTGCGGAGTGGTTCACACTAGCTTTGGCTTTGGCAAGAAATGCAGGATCTGGCTCGTGTTTATGTGAAAGTTCTTTTCATTGCCATATATATGTACACAGCAATAACTATATTGACCGATATAAACAGCAACAAAGCCACCCACCAATGTCTGTGTGAGAAGATAAATTACTTGAACCTGTTTCAAATGAATTTACACCATTGAGATAACACAGTAGTATCCCTTCAAAAAGGATAACACGGTAATATTGGGACGCACAATTTTTTCCTTTTGGCTAGATTGGGACACAACTTTACAAGATAAGTTGATAGGTCCCACAAATATCAGCAAAATGAAGAAATTGAAGAACACAACAGCACATATGATAGTTAAATCGTTAACATTCTTTATAGTTACCATATATTTCCAGGTATATGCTGGTGCCATGTTCCTACTATTAATGGTTTGGATTGTGAAAATTAGAGACTGTGTTTGGAGTTGTTTTTGTTTTTATTTTTCATGTTTTTTGAGAAAGAAAAAATAGAAACGGAAGAGAAACAGCTTTTGGTATAATTAAAGACAAAAAACAGAAATGAAAACGATTTTTTGGTTTAGTGTAAAATAGAAGATAAATGAAAAATGACTTTTACTTGTTTTTCATTTTTTGTTTCTGTTTTTTCCTCTCTCGAGCAGAAAGAGAGATAGACATTAATGGTTTTTTTTTTTATACTGAAAACAATCTTTTAAGTCTTAATAAAACTACCAAACGCATTTTTAAAAATGATTTCTGTCTGAGATTGAAAATATTTTCATTTCTATTTTCATACAAAAAATAAAATCATTTTGGAACGAGTTCCAAACGCATCCAAAGTCTTTTGCGAGTACGTCCCGACGAGTCCCCTTTTGGACCTTGAAATGCATTTAATATAATCCAACTAAGATAAGTAATCCTAAGAGATAAACCTAGCTATGCCAAATTGATTAATTACTAGAAATGCAGCGCTCTAATCAGCCTTAACACACTGATTAAGCCCCCTGAAAAGCAATCACCCTGGGCTTCCACATGTACTCCTACATGGTTTTCACTTTTGACCATCATCTATTCTAGTGCTTATGAGAAAATGGAAACACCATTTCAACGCTCTGCATTTCAAACAAATTTTAAAGTTCTTCAGGGTCTATCTCTTTCCAATTTCTCCATTATTTGTCTCTTTACTCTCCAAAATCCAACGAGTAAAAAACAGAAAATTCAAAATCTGAAATTGCTTGAAAATAAATTTTTCATTTGTTCTTGAGGTATTGCTCATCAACCACACACGCTTCTCGTGTATTTATTTACTTATTTTTTCTGATAATTCTAAGTACATATCAGATAATCCTAAATGGATTTTACTTGGGGTATTGATACATGTGACTAGTAAATAAAAAAAGAATTTCGATACACAAAGTATGGAAACCCAACATGACTACTGCAAGGCTTTCTTGAGCTAAAGAAACTTACTATGAAGTGGCACTAGTTTTCCCGAGATAGCATTATAGAGGATGCAATCAACAAAAAAGCTTTTAAAACTAGCTAAAATACTTGAGGAATTTAATACAAAAGCCATACCAGGGAGCAAGTTACGGTTAAATCCATACAATATCGCAAGTTACCAGAAAGCAAGTTATGGCTCAGGGTCGGCGACTAATCTTCCTTCTTTGGCAGTTGCAGCCCATGATCTAATAAATTGCATAGCACCAAGTTTGTCGCATAGGCAATGGCAGAGCCTCAAACCAATGCTGAAACCTCCACCTATGAGCAAAGGCATGTCAAGGAGTTGGAAGGGCTCTTCATCAGGGAATCTGAAGATCAAGGGAATCCGTGCTGGGTTTGGCACCGTGAGGTCGCCTAAATCAGCTAAGGCAATCTCGGAGTGTGCCTCCACCATGAGAGCGCCTTGTTCTGACCCAAAGAACACTTCGAGATTCCCATTCTTGGTCTCTCAGAGCCTTCCCAAGAAAGGGTAGTATGGGACCAAGGCACTCGAAAGGGCATTGCAGAGGGTCTTCACGACTGGTTTGTGGTGATTTGATGGGTAGAAGTAAAGTGTTGGAGTGAAACTCGAGATCCAACCACCTGAAAGTGATTGAGCAATGCCACAATCTAAGGAGACGTTTGGTTCATAAATTAGAATCATGATATTAGAATTATTTTCGATTTACGTGTATTTTTTGTGAGAGAAAATACTGTAGTGAATCATGAACCATAATTCAAATCATTGTATGAATACCCTTACCAAACGTCTCCTAAAAGTTCCGCCTCTAGAACGCACCCCACAAGGCGATGCTTGAACCAATTCCCCAAGACTGAAGCAGCTTGATCTTGCAGGATGGCACCAAGACCTGCAAAGGATAGCTTATTGGCCCCTGCATCAAGAGAAAACATATTTCTGCTCGTGCCAAAACCCCAATCAGTTTCAGTCACCATAAACCTCTGTCTATTGGCTGAAAATTCTTGAAACTGAAGATTCAATAACAGAAAAGCTTTTGTGCCACTGAGTCACTCTAGAAGCAAAAAGCTCATTATTTCTACATTGCCAAATCTAGCGAAACACAACCGCCACTTGGCACCCTCTAAACTGGAATTGAAATGGAGAACATCTCTGCGAACATAAAAAAAGGCTAGCAAACCACAGAAAATGAGACATACTGCCTTGGAAAATAGGTAGAAAAAAATGCAGGATGATTAGAAGTGTAATCTATTCAATACAAATCTAAGGTCATAAACTGTAATTGGAGTTTTGACATAACATAATATGAAGCCAAATTCATTCAAGTACCCAATGTGAGCATTTCGAGCTATGACCCATGATTGTCCACTGTTTTGTCTTAATCATTTAAATGTCTTATTTAGCAAGAATCGTAGATGGAATGGGAGTTACTCCCTTTTGTCATAAAACAAAGTCATGCTGAAACAAGATAAAATATAAAAAAAAAATATATTACAAAGAAAACACAAATAAATAAATAGTGGAGGTGATAAACATCAATATTGCTTAGTGCAGGTGGTGGGATTTGTTGGTTTTATGCTGCCACTGATTCATTTGCTTTTAGGTGGTGGTTTTTTTTACCTCATGTTAGTTTTCTTTTTTCTTATACTAATATTCTTTAATATATACTAATGTATAAACTAATACTAAAGTAAAAGATTAAATTTTCTAACATAATTTATTGTTAATAAAATTTATATCATAATATAGTAATGTGAAAGATAAAATATTTTTAACATAATATCTGAACATAATATATTATTAAGATACCATAGATATTAATACAATAAGCCAAATAATAGTTATGAAGTTCAAAAAACTTACACAGAATGTTAAAAAACGAAATAGAATAAACAAACAAAGTTGAAGTGTGCGGTGTGAGATAACACATGAGCCATATGCAGAAATCTTGACCATTGTATATAAAGTAAAAAAAGAATTGGTTAATGTGACCCATTTCATAATAGGTTGAAGTAAATAGAATTGCATTATAAATGATAATTTCTTTCTTTTAAAAACAAAAAAAAAAAAAACAAAAAAAACAAAATTTTACTACTTTCTTTAGCTCGTTTGAAATTCTGAGTCAGCAAATGTTCTTCAAGACATTCCAATATAGGCTAATGCTGTCATTTAATTGGGCAGCTTTTATCATTAGCTAATGAACAAGATGTTTTGGGTGCTCTTCTCTCCCAAATTTAATCCAATTTTAAAATACCAATGTTTCCAACTTTTTAAAATTAACTTAGATATTAAAAAGTAGTTGCATCCCTAGCATTATTCCTTAATTTTCTGTCTTGTTTTATTATAGGCTCGTTGATACAGTAGAAACTTTTTATCAAGCCAAATCCATTGCTAGAGAAGAAAGAAAGAGGTTGTGCTCTGTTTTGAGGAGCAACCATACTATCATATATGTTTTATGTCATGGTATTTCAACGATTTTGTCAGAAGAGAAGTAGAACGACACCTAAACAACAAATAAAACAGCAATCGATGAACAAACAGAAATATAGAAACACATCACAAATGACAGCCATTAAGAGGAAAACGACACATCTTGTCTTCGTCAATTCAATTGTAACATTTAGAAACCAATGGACAGTTTGGACTTCAGAGCAACAACAACACATGCAACAACACCAACAAGCTTGAGTGGCGAAAAATAGAAGTAAACCGGAGAGAGAGATATATAAAAGCATTAAAACGACAAGAATCTAAAAGGCGACTTTAAATAGAAAAAAAGACGAAAGAAACAAAAACATAAAAGGAAAATTTCTAAAAAAATATCAAAAAAAGTAACACTATTTATTTCTACTATTATTTTAAAATTTATCTTATGACGTTAATTATCGGCTATTTTTTCGTAATTTACAGATTATTATTTTTTTATAATTTACAGGTTATTTTTTCATAACCTGCAGATTATTTTTTATAGTGACATTAAAATTTGGGTAATGACATAAATAATATAGTTGAAAAAAATAATAGTTAAACTTAAAATTTTTTCAAACATAAACAACAGAAAAACGACATTAAACATAAAAATGACTAAATCCGAGAAATGACATAAAGACTCGCAAGAACTACATTATAAGTGAAAATGAAAGAAATTCAAAATTATATAAAACTTCAAACTGGCATCGTCTACAAAAATGACGCCCCCTAAAAAATCACATCATAAAACCGAAAACTGTATAGGAACCGAAAAAACGACACTACCTCAAAAATATTTAACACGTGAACAACGGAACGACATTGCGCAAAACGACACAAATTGGAAAAGGACAATAACTGTGAAACGGCATAAACGTTGAAAGTACACCATTTTTTTTTTTTTTTTAAAGTCCTGCGGTAGAAATCTTCTAAGTAGGAATTAGTCATTCTTAAAATGTAACTAATAACATCACGTTGAACTTATCTGGTAGGGCTATAAAAATGAACTTCTCTACTTTTAGTCGTCAAATATGTATCAAAAATTATGTATTTTGTATATTTTTTTAATTTGATGTGATTTTAACTAAATTTAACAGGTAGAAATTAATTATATTAGTAAAAACCGTACTAGAAAAAGACTCTAAAAAGTAATATTGGCTGGTTTTTGTTTAGCTTCTTGGCGAGGGATGGGAACCAATTATCTACAGTCTTTGGGGGTACCATTTAGTCCAATATTGATCATGACATGAAATTGAAAGATACAGAACTCACAAAGTCATAAATTAAAGTGAGAGCCTTGAGAGCTGATATATATATATATATATATATCTACATGTTTATTGTATAGTACTAGAAAGTTGGAGATTTGATTGGATTAATTTTGACCAAACTGGCAGAACTGAGAGAAGAATGTGACATTTTGACAATTTGATCCGGTACTCCACGTGGATTTTCTGTCTTATATTCTAATACCTTCTATTATCCTCATCCGAGTTATGAGCTTCATCCTTTGTAAATTATCATCTAACGTTGTATCCACTATTAAGGCCTGCTCCTTAGCATATTTATAAAAGATTTTATCGTAGTATCAGAAAAAATGAATTAAAAACTGCATGTCAAGCACATTTTTTTAATTTAATATGATTTTAATCAGATCTAATAATCAAAAATTGGCTCTACCGGTAAAAGTCGATAAATTGTCTTCTTAAGATATTTAAGAAAATCATGAAGGTGTTACGAGCAAGAGGTAAGAGATTGTGTTTTAGCTAAAGAGTAGCTACAGCCTAAAATAAGAGATTGAACATTTTAAAATTTGCCAATTTTGAAATATTCACGTATGAAAGTAACAGCTAATGCCTAATAGTAGCAATTTAATACTCTAAAATGAAAAGTAGCTCGTGATTTTCATTAAAAAAAGAAAAGGGAAAAAAAAAAAAACTAAAGACATTTCGTGGGAAGTTTCAAATATTAAAAATGAAAATTAGTTATATAGGTGCACCGTTTTATAAGAAATTCTGAAGGTAACAAATACTGCATATAACAAAATTTTAAAACCTTAAAAGTTGGAACAGAGAAAATATTAATTAGCAGATAAGTTTGCCGAAAATAACTAATCAACTGATCTTGACCATTGCATTTAAAGTAAAAAAAACAAAAAACAAAAAAACAAAAAAAAAAAAAGAAGAAGAAGAAGAAAGAATTGATTAATGTGAACCATTAGATAATAATTTGAAGTACAAAATCTCATTCATACTATTCTCCCTTCTTATATATCTTATATTGAGTTTGTTACTGAGTTTTTAAATCGTACCTTATAAAAGACTGCTAAACTTGGTTTGCTAATTTAGCATTTCTCTAAAATAAAGGGTTAAATTTCAAGACTTGGGGGATGGATCGCGCATGTGAAGGCCTTAAAAGAAGTGACATGAAAAATTGGGATTAAATCGTTATAGTCTTTGTCGGTGCTTGTAGCCTTATAATAAGTTCCAACTTATATTATTATACACTTTTTTTTTCCCCTAATGTACTATTAGATATGTAACATTAACTTCAGTCACATGGATAATTGAAATCCTGCGTTGTTCTTGTGCAGTGTTTATTTTTAATTATATTTGCTTTACGAGTTATGCCATATTAATTATTAGCTAGGTAATATCATGTATTAATAAAGTTGTTTGCTTCTTGCAGCTTTTTTGACAATCTTAGGCCTCGTTCACTTCGCGAATTCGAGTTTTCAATTCGAATTGAGATGTGACATTTTCTGAAAACTTTTCACTGTAGCAGAAAAAATTAAATGTGATATTTTCTAAAAACTTTTTACTGTAAAAATTTAAAACTGAAAATTCGAATCGGTGAAATAAACGATGCCTTAAACTCAAGTCATTTGAATGCCATGATAAATTCTCTGTCTGCTTCGGTGCATATTCTTGATCAGGCACGTTTAGTTTGGTATTCCAAAAATTCCATGTACGTTGTAAAATACTAATTATGTGGGGATCAGTGAGAGCAAAAGTAGCAATCAACTTTTATTTTATTTTTTTTTTTTTTAATTTTCGGTTTTTATAATAACTTTTAGTTTTTGTTCGTTGTACTAATTCACCGTTTTGGCAGAGCAGTTTAACCACCAAAATTAAAGATGTACTCAATTTTATTTTAAATGAGGAGTTTTTTTTTTACTCTTTGTGTCACGAAGGTTTAAATCTTTTTTCTGCAGCGTTGTCAAGCGTATTTAAATTTTAAAAAATACAATTGGAGCACATAATTATAATTTGTTAGTAAATGCCAAACTATTATAACAGCAATGTTTTTTTTTTTTTTGAGCTAAATAAGAATCATTTCATATATGCTTGAGAAATGCAAAGGTGTTCTTGGATTTTCGAATACCACATTGCCATTTTGGAATTTTTATTGATTACATAATAAGACAATTATATGTGATAAGGTTTTTTTTTTTTTTTTTTTTTTTTAGCACAACGGATCTATCTTGTCATGATTTGTTATTATATGTAAAATCTAAAAATTATTGAAGTAGCATATTACAAATCATACACTAGAGTAAATTTCATATGTTAGAATTACGGTTTTTCCTTCTTTTTTTCCCCACGTAATTTTTTTTTTACTTTTAATTTTGTATGTACATTTTATTAAAATTACAGTTTATGCTCGTAAAATATGAGTTTATTATCGTCTCTTAAAATCTGAAATTATACGCCCACCCTTCTTCACTTAATTTTCTGGCTCCCCCTCCCTCCGAAGACAAAGCAATTATTGATTTTGTTGCCCCTCGTATTCCTATGGTCATTCCTCTCATTGAAATGTTATTGAAAATTTACCCTCCTTTGTTTTTTTTTTTTTTTTTTTTTTTTTTTTTTTGGTTCTTATGCAGTGCACCATGCAACTTTATGTGGTGCCCCACAGTTGGCCACCCAACAAAAACAGACCATAGAAGAATGGTGCTGTTCCCCCTTTAGTGATCCATAATAGAAACATTGGCTTTTTTTTTTTTTTTTTTCTCTAGGGGCATTATTCAGATGAACCCCACATGAGACTCTTGCCACCCAATCTCTGTTGTTGCCTAGTAAACCTCACGTGACCAACACGTGTCCAACATAAGAGCCCTCAATTCACGAATGAAGATCTATTATCTCATTTTTCTATTTTGTTAACTGTTCTTTAAATTAAATTTTAACACGTCGTGATTTGCTTAAGTGTTTTTAATATTTAGTTCATATTTATGTGGTTAATTTTAATGACATGACAATTGAGTAGTGAAGAGATAGCAACAACGGATCTGGACTCTCACTTCACTAAGAGCCTTTTTTGAATTCGTCTCATTAGATTCATTATTAATGAACCATCTTTCACATGGACCAACCTGCGGAGAATATAACCATTTTCTTATAACAAAAAGATAATAAAAAGAAAAATGAAGTGTGTGTGGAGTACTATAGAAACCCTTTTTAAAATCCTTCAATAGTAGTCATGAATTCAATCATATGTTATTCAAAACTGAGCTCATGGGGCACCAATAATTCAGAGCCGTCTGTCCCATTTCCATAAGAAGACAAATGTGTCAATGCAAACTCCTAATAGTTCTCTATTGGCTTTGATTTGTTAATTAATGTGAATTTACTTCCCTCATTGTTTAGCCTTCTAGGCCACTCCTAGAGTCGTGAAAGAAGTCCTTATTTTAAGCCGTTTGGTTAGATTGTTAAAGAAAAAATTGCGCACACCACTTTTTCTTGCACCCTTTTGCACAAAAACAATTTGATGAAGTGACCCTTATTATCATCCAAGCACCACGTGGACCTCTTTTTTTTTTTTTTTTAATCCATAAATACAATATAATTTACGGAGAGAAAAAAGAAAATTGGCACTTGGGTCATGATTAGTATAAACTATAGAGAGTGATTGTTGCCCAAACTATAGGTGTGACTTATGAGGTAGCTGGTATAATACTTATTTCACATTTTCTTCTGTTGGGTTACCAAATATTCCATCTTTTCTGATCTCTTCTACTCGAACTTTTCTAAGCATGCAAATTAATGGTCATATAAAATTGCCCAATTTACAAAAATATAGATCCTTATCCAAATCAGGTGTGACTTATGAGGTAGCTGCTATATATATATATATATATATATATATAAAAGTAGTATTATTTTTCCTCCAGCTTGGAAGAAGCAGATGTCACATGACATAAAGTAAGTTTGATACTGCAAAATGCCACTAACTTCCTCCAATTTTGGTGACTCTTTTCTGATCGTATTAATGCCCCTTTTGCTCTTTCACACTCTCTCAATGATATGAGATAGGCTTTACTTCCTTTCTTTTAATGCATATTAATTGTTGTGTTTCTTTCTCTCCTTGCTGCAGAAATTGTCACATGAAGACCTAGCTTTGTACGTGCCAATTTGCCAATCTCAAAGGAAGTTTCCTTCTTTTTGAGCTTTTTTCATTGTGTGGAGTTTATTTAGCACTTCATCACATGACAAAAACTAGTCCAAGTGAAAACTGTTTCTGCGTAAGAAAGTATTACAAGTTCAAGAGTGCCTTCTTTTAGGCTTTGCTTGATGCCCTCATACAGTGATACACATATATAGATAGCATATATATATATATATATCTATATATATATATATATGTTTTTGGCTTCTTTCCTTCTTCATAGCTCTTCATCGGGGTCCGTTTCTATATTTTTTGCTTCCCCAATGAGATTTTGACTTTTAACTCTCCTAGTCTATCTCTCTCTTTCTTTCTCCCTCCACCCATTATAAATTAGTATTGTCCACACTAGTTGAGTAGTTTTTTTTATTTTTTGTTTTCCCTTGGATTTTACATCTGGGCAGGTTGATTTGGTTTCTCTCTTTGAGTGACCAACTTTTGATCAGATTTGTCTTTGTGGACTGAGATCTCAACTCTTATCAAGTACTGCCCTGAAAATTAATGGGGAAGCTCAGTCTTGGCAGGGTGTTAGACTGTCTTTGTCTATCTTCTTCTGGGTCAGGCACTTCTTGTTTCTGCTTGAATTCCATGGAATTTGATGACGAGTTTGAGAGAAACCCTTTACTGAAAAGTGAAAATAGCCAGTTGCTCACATTGAAGGATGTTGTTTCTGGAAAGCAGACTTTGGCTTCCCAATTGAAGCCCAAGGTATTGTTTCCTCAAATCTTCTTCTCAAATACGTTTTGTGTTTTCATATGATCTGACACATATATATATATAGATATATAATATATGACATATTGAAGTTCTTAGCGCACACACATTTAATATGACTTGGTTTGCAGATGGTAATGCTAAGAGTGTCCATGCACTGCCATGGCTGTGCCAAAAAAGTTGAGAAACATATCTCTAAGATGGAAGGTAAATGAACCTTACTCGCTCATTCTTCTATTTTGTCCACATCTTATCAAAAATTATCTATTTTGTTTTTCTCCTCAAACAAGCATACAAATACAATGAACATACATTCACATATTCCTATTGTCTAATCTTCAAACTTTAAAAGAGTCCAATTTCAACCAAAAAAATGTCACAAAAGTCCAACTACCGGTGATGGCAGTATAGCGATAAAAGACGATCTATTAAGAATTTCCCATCAACCACTTAGAGATTGGTTCTTAATTATTGTCTATGGTCCTAGTAAGTTGTCAAAATGACCATTGGGCTTAAGGACATGATGATACCTCTTATCACCTTTTATTGATCAACAAAAAAAAGATCTTAAAAAGTCAAATATTCTAAGAACATGATTTAACTGTCAAATAGGGGTACGGCTCATCTTATTCTCTATGTCTCATTGTTTCTCCCAGTTTTTGGTAATTCCAAACCAACCCTGTATGTTTTTCATATCTTACATTCCTCACATCATAAAATTGATAAAAAAAAATTTATGTCCTCTATATTCACAATACAAACACAGGTGTGACCTCGTACAAAGTGGATTTAGAAACCAAGATGGTGGTTGTCATTGGAGACATTCTTCCTTTTGAGGTGTTGGAGAGTGTCTCCAAGGTCAAGAATGCAGAGCTTTGGAACTCTCCATCCTAATCAAACAATATTATCTTCCATCATCCCTCCCACATTGCCAGTGTTATTCCTGTTCCCAAACAGGGACAAAAGAAGCCAAGAACAAGATAGAGACAACTGCATTATTCTATAAGCATCAGAAGCCGTACCATATTATATATATATATATATAAATACACACATTTGTAATATCCCATCTTGGGAAAAAAAAAAAAAAAAAAGAAGCACTTAATCTGCGCCTGCAATATTCAGACCTCTTAATGCCTTTTGGCATTATGATTATATAAGCTTGTACATGTAGTATCACTTTGTTCCAAAGGCTCTAGTTGGAACATATGAATATTTGGCCATTACGTTTATGGCTTTCGTCTGTATTTAAACTTCACAAACCTGTTTTGTTCTTGATGTTTTTATGCCTTAATTAGCAAAACATAGTTTTAGTCAAACCCCAGATTTTATTTTCCGGTGCAATACAGTTTTACTTATTTTGGAGGTCCTCTAGGAATTATTAACAAAAATTATTGCAGAAACACATGGGTAGTATCCGTGCCTCTAGAAACAATTTCTGAACACAATCTGAATCTGATTCAGTCCAGCCTATGATGATTTCACAACATTTGTAATTTTGGATGGAGCATTTCAGTGAATATTAGATTATGTGTGTAATAGAAGCACGGTCAGTAGTCCAGTTTGCGACTGCTGGTAGCACAGTCGGCAACCACCAGTTGTCGAAATATTTGGTATCACGGCAAACTTAGTATCGTTTCAGGATACTGTTGGTCATCGATGGCTACTATCAGTTAAACTGTGAAAGTGAGACTGACGTTGAATTTGTTTTTGAGGGGGTTAGAGTTAGGGGTAAGTCTGAGTTTAACGTCGAATTTGTGATTGGTTTAACGGCAATGGAGACTTCATGAGACTGAGAAGTATAAAAAAAAAAAAAAATGTAAAAAGTGGTAAAAGTTATTCAGTCATTATTTCCATGAATAATTAGACTTCATAAGTGCTAATAGGCCTAATATACAATACTCTGAGGTCAAAAAGAGACAAAGAATACTCTTGAGAATGCATGAGTTTAAATTTTGACTCTCTTACTCTTAATTAATACTCTTTTTAGTCAAATAACTATATTAATTAAAAGAATATTAATCAAGAATAAGAAGTAAAAATTTAAACTCATACTGTTTAAAGACCAGTTCAACAATTTTCTCGACTCGTCCTTGAGCCAAGTAAATTTTAGGCTTGTTACACTCAGGCCACAATTCTGGTCTAGACCTTTTTTGGGTTGCAGGTTCTGTTTTAGATTTGTGTACTCTAGTAGTGAGGCACTTTTGATTATGCATATATGAATATATAAATATATATAGTCACGGTTTTAAATCCGGCGGCCGTAAATATATTTTTTATATAAGTTTATAACTTATATGGTAATATTGAAGCATGTTATAGATAACATAATAATAAATTACATTTTATTAAGCGAAACATTAAACAAAATGAGTATTACAACGAACGAATAAATAATGTTATATTAGTGCGCAACAAGAGAGAGACTTAACACCTGTGTTGCATCTAATACATTTTATTTGGTGTGTATATATACACTTTCCATTCTAAACGTGTAAACTCTTCATTTTTTCATACATTAGAATAAGTTTAATGAAATTCTTTTTATCCAATGTTTGTAATAGTCCATAAGAATGAATTTGGATTAAAAATATGTAAGAATTTTATATACTCAAATATCAGTCGAATTTATATTAAATACCTCAGTTTTGCATACTTGTTTAATTTTAATATGATTTTCATTAAATCAGCGTTAAGTAAAATACACTGCACATAAGACATACCTCAGAAAAAGCTCAAACAAAAAAAAAAAGAAAAAGAAAAAGAGAAAGAAAGAAAGAAAGAAATGAAAATCAACGTAAACTTCAAGAAACCTTATTTTTTATTCGAATGAAGAGTTGAAAACTGATCCAACCAACCAAGTTGAAGTTGTCAAGTCGGTTTAATTCATTGATTTAAATTTTTAATTTAAATTAAAATATGATTTTATGTGAAAATTTTTTATTATAATAAAAAAAATTAAATATAACTATTTCTTGAAAGCTTTTTACTATAACAAAACTTATTGAGTCTAATCTCGTGTCAAAGATTCAAAGCCAAATAATTCATGTCGTTTTTAGGTCCCGCTGCTGCAAATAAATATCATCTTTTGGAAAAAGAAAACCACGTGCGACGTCGTATTCATGTCGTTTCCGTACTTCGTTGTCCCGTTTCCTTGAAAATATCGATTCTTATTCCTCTTCATCTTCTTCCTCGACCAAAAACCAGAACCAGAACTTCTTCCTTCTTCCTTCAATATCTCAGAATTGAAAAATAGTTTAATAAAAAAATAAAAAATAAAAACAATGATTAAATTCAAATCTTTCCTGTTCCTCTTCTCTTTCCTGCAATTTATAATCGCTGGTTCTTCTCAAAACCCTAACCCTAGCCAATCTCCGTCGTCGGCACACTCCGAGCTCACCAACTACGGCTTCCCGATCGGCCTTCTGCCGTCCGCTACCGTCCTCGGCTACAGCATCAACCATACCTCCGGCGAATTTTCCGTCGACCTCGGGGGCGCGTGCAAGGTCACGCTCCCGCCGGACAACTACCCCGCCACGTACTCGAAGAAGATCACCGGAAAGATCGGCCACGGCAGGATGGCGAAGCTCGACGGGATCAGTGTCCGCGCGTTCTTCAAGTGGTGGTCGATCACCGGGATTCGCGCCAGCGGCGAGAATTTGGTCTTCGAGGTCGGCGGGATCACGGCCAAGTACCCGTCGAAGAACTTCGATGAGAGTCTTCCTTGTGAGGGAAAGCACTTGGCTTCATAAGAGGTTTGTGAATTTCAATTTATTCTCGTTTGATTCTTGTTCTGATTGTCTCTTTCCTGTTATAGTGATTTAAAAAAAAAAAATTTAAAGAAAAGTTGAAGTTGAAAAGGAAAGATTATGATTCATGTTTTTTTTTTTTTTAATTTCTTGGTTTTGTTGCTTGAGAAATGCTCCAGCTTGTAAAGGACGCTAATTTATTCTTTTTTTTTTCTTTTTCTCAAGTTACCAACGTTATACTTTTTCTTTTAGGAAATTGCTAGTATGAATCCCCTGTATCACTCATGAATTTCATGTTTGTAATTCTAGTTTTGCAGGTGTTAAAAATTTGATTTGTGCCAATTCTAAGGCTCCGTTCATTTTATCAATTTGAGTTTAGAATTCGAGTTTTGTTACAGTAAAAAACTCTCACATTTAATTTTTTTCTACAGTAAAAAGTTCTCACGTAAAATCACATCTTAACTCAAATTAAAAACTCAAATCAACGAACTAAACGGGCCCTAAATGTGTAGCTATTGAGGTTGTTGATGGTTAGGTTGAAATCTAGATTTGGTAGTTTAGATGAAGCATTCAGAGTGTTATTTGAGTAGCGCATTTGTGTTAGATTTTAATTCATGCTTAAAAACTGAGTAGGTTTTCTCTTGGTGGCAGGCCGTAGTTAAGTGGAATTTGGACTTTGAGCATTCTATCATTTGGCTAGACACAGATTTATCTTAGAGATAGATAGAGAGATAGGAACTTATCGAACAAACCGCACTCCCGACCTATAGGATTATTTCCCTTACCCTTTTCCCCCTTCAACTTTTCTGGCTTGAAGGAGTTATTGAATTTTATATGGATTTTGCATCCTTGTAGTTTTGGCAATTTCTATTGTAACACTGGAAAGTTGAAAACCAGTCACCAATATAGCCAGTTCAAAGTCTTCTAATAGAAATACATGCAAGGTAATCATATTTCTGGCTGCTTAACAGCGGATGAGAATGACCAAATAACAATAATAATCATTAAGTCACATAAAATAGATATACCTTTTTTGGTCGATTGCAACAGCCTTACAGTTGTTTCCAGGGTCGGTATTATTCAGTCTTTTCTTTCCTAGGGTTGGTTATGGAAATCCTTAACTAATTTGGTTTAGCCCATGCACAAATATCTTGAGGATTTGTCTGTCAAGTCTTGAGACTTGGGGATGAGCTAAGTTCATGGTGAGCTATACCCAGATTCGACGATGACGATTGTTCTGTAACGGGATCTATTCTGGGTCCAAACTCCAAAATGGTCATTGGGTATAGAAAACGATTTGTGATTCTGCAGGGGCTGAAAGCTAAAATTCTTGTGAATATTGAAAGTTACAAGTGACCTTGAGGAACCCCATGAGTCCAGTCACTGCTCCTACTTTGTAGTAAGGACCGTATCGAAAAAAGTTTGAAACCGAAATGTTGTAAATATAACAGCTATTTTGATTTGCCCATTTGAGATACTTTTGAGTTTGCGTTGCCTGCAAGCTATTCTCCTTTCTACAAGTTGAAGTTTTGAGGAATCTTATTAGTCCAATTCTTCTTTTTTTATCAAGTCTTTTATGGTCTTTTACCATAAAGTAATAGGTTCTGCATCTTTGATTTATAGTCGGCTAGTTGACTTCATGGTTGATGAACTGTTCTGAGTATCTATTGTAACATCTTGCACATTGGTGGGGCAAACTTACTTTTGGTTGCTTTTCTTTTCCACTTTTGCAGGGCATCCGTTTAGGTTCTATGGATTAAGTTATATGATGTTGTTCGGCCACAAGACTGGAACCAAAAGTTATCCGAATGATTTGCAAGATATTATCTGAATAAGGGCAGAACCTGGAATTTTCCTATATTTGTATGTATATATAGACATGTTTTCTTTTCAGTAGTATATATACAAGCTCTACTTTCTTATGGTAATAGACAATGCTTATAGGAAGTTTCGTTTGTATTTTCACTTCTCTTCAAACTCGTATTTATTTCTATGAACTTAAACGGGATAAACTGTATGAAAAATATGACTTGTCTTTTACTCGTCAGTGCTCTTTCGTCTGTTCATGGTCAATAATAATTAATGTTCATATAGTGTAATTCGCATTTAATCATCGAAGACAATACTGTGTAATTAAATATCATATAGAATCTGTGCCAACTGCCAAGTTGTGATTTTTTTTTTTTTTTTGCCGTTTTTTGGGGCTGAAAACCAAGCTGTGATGTTTGTTCAACAAGGAATAAAGCTCTGATCCGACCAACAGTAGTACATGTACGCTAAAATGCTAATCACTTGTGCCGAAGATCGGTTGGTCTAGTGACGCTGGAGGGTTTGAGTGGGGTGGAATTCGGGGGAGGTAGCTGATTCGATCCCGTATTGTATAATAATTAAAAAAAACAAACAAACAAAACAAAAGAAATGTCACTTGTGATAGCATCGATAGTTGATTGATTTTATTCTTCTCGTTCAACATTGTTGGGGATCTTTTTCCCAAGTAACTTAAGATTTACTGAAATGGTTCAAAATTAACTGCCCTTTTGACATTCTGTACGTACTGATTCTTTTTAGACTTATTCAGCTAACGGACAAATTAGTCATTGAAGAGGAATGAAATCTGGTATTATGTCCAATCGTTTAAACTATAAAGCATAAGAATACAAACTATGCACGTCATGAGGACCGTGATGCGTGTAAAAATGTTTTGGAAGGATCAAAATGGAAAGAAATTTAGCAGAAGGGTTGCTTTTCATCTATTTATATCCGTTTGAGTAGAAAAACTCAACATTTTACACAAGCGATTGGACCATGCTACGACTGCCTTGATAATTCATGAATGAAAATATTTGTATTTATTAGGTGGTCCAACATAAGGCCTTCTGATTATCCAAAAGGAAAAAAAAAAAAAAAAAAATTTGAAAAGCAGAAATTGGGGTTTGAGTTTAGTTGAAAATAGAAACAGATGGGTATCTTTCACTGGTTTTCCTGGTTAGTTTTCGACTGAAAATCTGAAATGTTAAGTGGTAATTCAGTTATCTACGCAATTTTGTAGTTGGTAGTTTGTGGTACATAAACTTTGAGCTGGATGGCTGAATCAGTGGTCCAACTTTCCAAGTAGTTCTTGCATATCCCCATCTACATCTAGTAGACTAGTACTTCATTCTCCATACCAAAAACAAAACAATAACGCACACAAGCTTTAAGATGATTACTGTTTCAAAAAGCCACCATATCAATTTCTTCCACTATTATAAAAGCAAATCCCCATTTGCCATGTGGGTCTTAATATATTTGAAGTGGCTTTTAAAACATTTTTAATTCATTCTCGGTTCCATGTCTAATCTCCTAGTTAGTTTCTATCTCAAGGGTTCTTTTTACCATGGATTTTCTCATCATCGAACCTTTTGGTTTCTATATATTTGTTGCTGTCGTCAAATTGTTGGAGGTAGCATTGATGAGTTCCATGTTTTTAAAATAGTTGATACATGGTGCAGTAAAAAATAGAAAGTTTTTGTTTTTTTTTACCGGACAATCACGTGACCCATGCATAATTATAATATTAGGACTCGTTTACAAGGTATACTCAAATTATGATTTCTGATTCTGCCGTTTGAAATTTAAATTTTTTATAAGAGAAAAACACTGTAGCAGAATCAATCATTTAAGTTTTAATATATGAAATAAACAGGCCTTTCAGGCACAAGAAGTTTTTTATCCTGATAGAGAGAAATCACTATAGACACAAAAAGCCAGCCCCACATAGTGGGATCTATGTGGACCCAATAATGGGGTCCAACTTTTGTGTCTAATGACGATTTAACCCCATTGGGACACATAAAATTGTTCTTGACCCAAAGTATCGAGGTAAAGTTGTAACTTTGAACAAAAATGGTATTCATTTTGATGGGGTTAACACCTCACACTCATAAAATGATGGGTTTCATTAAATTAGATCTCACATATTCAGGGGCGGAGTTGTTTAAGGATGAGTGGGGGCAGCCGCCTCCATTGATTTTTTTAAAATAAAATTTGACCCCTTAAAAAATTAAACTTTTCAATTTCGCCCCACTAATTTTTTTTTTCATACATGCCCCCACTAAATAGGGGTGCTCTATCTTTTAATGCAACATATATGTTATATCGTAATTTATCACGGGTTTAACTCGACATTCCACGTAAGCTACTTAAAAACTTGAAGCTCAAATTAAGCTAGGTAAGTTAAGCTCGATACTTTGAGCTCGGTACCTTAAGATCAGCACCTTGAGCTTGGTATTTTGAGCTGGGTATGTCGAGCTAAGTAATTTGAGCCTAGTATGTTAAGCTAGATAAGTGACGTGGGCAACCCTAGGTAGGTAAGTGAGAAGAAATGTCTCAGGTCAAATGTCCCAAACTAAATGTCCCAGGTCAAATGCCCTTGGCCAAATGCCCTAAGCCAAATGCCCTAGGCTAAATGCCTCAAGCCAAAATAGCCTAACACAAAATGCCGTAGGTCAAATGCCCTAGGCTAAATGTTCTAGGCTAAATGCCTCAGGTTCAACACTGTGAACTCGATACCTCGAGCTCGGTACTTTTGAGCTTGGTATGTTGAGCTCAATACCTCGAGGTCAAATCTCCGAAGGTTAACTCCCTAGGACAAGTCGTTGGACTAGAGCAAGTTAAAATAAGCCCAACCCCTGACTCAATTTATCACATGGAAAATAAAGAAAATAATACGTCAGCAATCCCAGTGAAATAAGCGAATCACCACGTCAACGATCACATGAGATGTGGATTATCATCAAGGGAAGCGGAGGTTATGTCCGGGGAGGAGTGAAACGCCATGTGCTAAGAGAAGAGTAAGAAACGTGGAAATGGTGGATGTGGGTTGGATGGTTACACCCACGACCAACGGTTACATCCACAAAGGATGGTTACTCGGGAGGAGAGGCTCTATAAATACAAGAAGAGGAAGCGGAGAAGAGGGTTCGAATCCTCACTCTCGGAGAAGACTTCTTTACGTTTTTTTCTTACTTTGAATGTTAAGAGAGAGTTTGAGGGTGTAAACTCATAAATTCAATGAAAATCATAATGGATGTAGATCATATTAGGTCGAACTACTTTAAATTTTTATATCCTCTATTTTCTTCTATCTTTATTTTAATTCGTTGATGGTATTTTAATCTTTTTAAATCGGATCTAGTCACTTCCTTTGAAGTTGGTCATTTTTTGACGTCAACAATATCAATGGAAAGGCTTGCGTGCGAGGGAATGAAGGCGAAATTAGACCACGAATCGGCACAAATATCCAAAAGTGCAGAAATCAGAATCGTATCTTTTGAGTCTACTTGGAATCCCACACTACACCAATAATAGTACCCCACCCATGCCCGTCCTCCATTTCTTCCAAATCCTCGCAACTGCCAATTGGATTCTATGGTGGCATGGCCATTTAATCTACCAAGAGAGACTCTAGACGAAAGTACACTTTTTTTTTTCTTTTTTTTGTGTGGCTTGAATGCCCCCTTGGGCCCCTACCCCACACACACACACACAAGTTGTGTTAGGCTCCCAACTACCAACCTGGGACTAGAGGTACCCACCTCCATCCCACACCACTGGGCTAACCTGTGGCTTAGTAGGAAGTACTCTATTGTTCTCTCATCTATATATATATATATATATATATATATTGGTAAAATCTTCAATCAGGCATTTAGAAAGTATCTCATCGAAATGAAAGTTGTATATTTTTATATAAATCGTGTATATTTATAAGTAAATTGTATATATTTAACTAGAGACAATTCCTATATATATGTGTGTATATATATATAGGGACTACATTAGTCTGGTTTAGAAAAACAGTTGCATCACACAAATGTTATCATTTCTGAGTATCCCCTGTTTGGTTCACCAGTTTGAACCACAGTTCAAATACAGCGGTTCAAATTTTTTTGTTGGAGTGACGACGTTCATTTCACTAGTTTAAATAAAACGTGTCGGATTACATTAATCAACAATCAGAAGAAGGCAATCACATATCTTGAACTTCATTCATTACTTACTGACAAAATAACTTTCTTTTTTTAGGTTTGGTTCGCATCGTTTAGGAAAATTCCAATGCATTGCGCGCTTGCTTCTTTGAAATTCCAAATTTATGATAGTATCTTTGTTTGTATTTTGTAATAAGAGAGATTTTCTGGTACGTCGGTGTACTGGTACGTGAGGTTTTTTTTTAACTGTTAGATTTACATACCTTTTAATTTTTACATGATTTTATACAGATCTAACGGTTAAAAAACTTGACCTACCGGTATATTGGCGTAACAGAGAAGATCTCTTATAATAATTATGGACATAAATGAGGAATTCTAGGGTGGGGACCCTAAAGGTGCGTTTGGAATTGATTTTAAAATGATTTTGTTTACAATAAAAAGTAAAAATGAGATTATTTTGAGAATTATTCTGAGACCGATTCTGAAATTGCGTTTGGTTGGTTTTTTAAGAGATTATTTTGAGTATAATAAAAAAGTAAAATCGTATTTATTAATTAATATATTATAATATTATTAATAAGTACTAAAAAATGAAAACAGAAAAGTGAAAAGAACTTTTAACTGTTTTATAATTCCTTTATAAAAACTATTTTTATTGTTTTTATTTTTATTTTTATTTTTAAAATATTTACTAAACAAACGTCTTTTCATTTTTTACTTCTCAAAATACGTAAAAACGGTTTCAAAGAGGCACTAAAAATTCCCACCCTTAGACACAATGATTAGCGCTTCATTACAGTTGAAGCAAAATATATTATGGAACATTTGTTTCCATGCAAGTACTATCAACACTACATTGGTGGAAGTCGAAATATTAGAGAAGTCACAGATAGTACGAGAGTAATGAATAAAACTAAAATTCAACAATCATATGTATAAAAAACAGAATAAGATAAAATAATTATGGTACTTCTATGGTAAAATTAGTTGCATTATATTATCTAATTGGACAGTCAAAGGCCGAGGTAAATAATTACGTTGTGAAAGAAAAA